ATACTGTATTGGTGATGAAAACAGTCCTTTGTAGAGAGGTATCCTCTATCGTGAGTGTCCTCTCATGGAGGTTGTTCTACTGTATTGGTGATGAAAACAGTCCTTTGCAGAGAGGTGTCCTTTAGCGTGAATGTCCTCTCACATGGAGGTTCTATTGTATTGGTGATGAAAACAGTCCTTTGCAGAGAGGTATCCTTTAGCGTGAGTGTCCTCTCCTGGGGGTTCTACTGTATTGGTGATGAAAACAGTCCTTTGTAGAGAGGTGTCCTCTAGCGTGAGTGTCCTCTCACATGGAGGTTCTACTGTATTGGTGACGAAAACAGTCCTTTGTAGAGAGGTATCCTTTAGCGTGAGTGTCCTCTCACATAGGTTCTACTGTATATGTATTCAGGGGGTTAGTTTAAACTGCATGTATAATTAAGAAATGTTGATTTTCTATTAATTTTGCTTTTTGCATATAAGTAAATAAGTTTGTGGGTTGTAGTGCAACTTGGGAGATGTTACCTTTGGGCCCGTCAATATCCTCTTTCAACAATGTCTTCAATGATCCTGAAAATCATCTCTACTGGAAACTCTACCAATTTCTGAATGAGAGAATTCTTCAACATATCTACAAACGTGAGTTTTATATGAGTATACCCACCCAGTGTAATTCTTGTATATATATGTCGTAAACCCGGGTAAGACAACAAGTGAGTTGGAAGCAGTCGGGGTTGAGTGGCAAGACGTGCAGAGTGGGAAGTACGCACGGGACAGTAAGGACAAAGTTTGGGATCAAAAGAAGCTCTCCTAGTACGTCTCACGTGGCACCAGGACCAGGGGAAAGTTGAGGATTAAATGAGGAAAGCTCGGCGTCCTGCATGAAGCCGCGGAGGCAGGGAGGAACCAAAACGGCGGCCACGAGGGCCGCCGTGAGACCAAGCACTGAGCAGCCTGTCCGAAAATATCCGCTGTAACCTAACTAACTGTCAACATCCGGACCAACGCCCCTTTTTTGTCCCTCCCTGGATCCCCGGGGTGTCCGGTGGCAAGCTGGTGTCACTTTGAGACGACTAGAAAAGACGTCATGCTTTATTACTTTCATATCACATTGTTTAAATTATGATATATAGATAATTGGTTAATTTTATATAAAGCAATAACGCGTCAACTAGAGTAGAACCTCCTTTTAGCGGACACCTCTCTACAAAAGACAGTTTTCATTTTCAAGCTTTTGAATATTTCATTCAGCGTAATAAGAGGCGCTTAGTGTGGGGGGATTCATAAGAAAATATTGTCAAGTAGCTCTACAACCCCAGCCACAAGAAGCTCCATAGGACACCTGTCAATCTTCACTGGACTCCGGGGGGAAGGACCACAGGTGTGAGGGGTTCTCGGAATCTTATCGGTAACTAAGGGCCATTAGCCCGAAACCATGATCTCTAGGTGGACGCTTCTCAGTTTGCCAAAGCTGGTATTGTGGCTTTGTCACCAACCCGAGGCCGCTAGTTGCGGCGACGGTCAATAGATGGCGTCAGGTTTTGACGTTTATTTTGACGGGAGAGGCGCCCTATGCTTCTATGGAATAGATGAGATAGTTGTGTCTATTTTAAAATTTTCAATATTATTCTCTAATAATCTATAACATGAATTATTTCTAAACTCAAAATGTGTTTGTCCAGGTATAGACCAAGTTTATCTACAAGATGGCGGTCACTATGTTCTTTGGTATACATCTACTATTCAGTGAAGTACAGTGGATTCTTTTCAATGGAATTTTTCACAATAAATTCTCTTCATCTTCATTTTACATTTTAAATTTAATACATGTTTACATTTGCATACACAATTTTATATGCAAATAAAGAGTAGTTGATTTTTAAAATATAAAACTTATAGACACGAAATTTATATTTTAAATCCTGATGTCTTGTCCTTGTTGCTCCATGGAAAGATGGATGTCATTGCTCCGTTAGTCAGCCACATTTCAGAGTTCCCTGTTCACGGTTACCGTAGCGGCTCACGACACCGTATTACAGGACAGTCCCTTACTTGTGCTGCTTCTCCCGCCTGCCACGTAGAGGAGGAATTCTGGGTAGGAAATCTATTTATGGAGATAGTGTCTTGCCCACTCCATGGAAAGATGGGGTGCCATTGCTCCGTTAGTCAGCCACATTTCAGAGTTCTCTGTTCACGGTTACCGTAGCGGCTCGGGGCTCAAAACACCGTACTAAAGGACAGTCCTTTACTTGTGCTGCTTCTCCCGCCTGCCATGTATTTATATGCAAATAAAAAGTGGTTTATGTTAAAATATATAACTTCTTTAAGTTTTGTCTATGAGTTTAGAGTAAAAAAATCATTGATATTTATTTTTTAAAAGATTCAATATTTCATATAGGTATATGAAGTAATTTATAATACAATATAATGCGGCTTATGATTGTAGAAAGTTGTTCTACATTTCATATAGGCATTTTAGGAACACTAAGCGTTTATTAATATGTATTGTGTGAGTAGTTTTGTCTCATCTGCTAGTTATATTTTCTTTACTAATACACTTATAATAATATCCTCTATTCATGTCGCAATAACAAGATAACAAAGATATGATTTTTATGATACAAGTTTATTCTAAATGTATATTCTTAGATAATATATAAAAAATGCATATATTGGATTGAATAAAAGATTTATTTGCCAATATTTTGGTTGGTTGAACGCCAACCTTTATCGAGGCACATAAGTATATTCTATAAGAAATACTTGTATATTCTATACTTACAAAAAAAAAACTATGAATTCAAATATTAAAATTTAAATGTACATTTATTTTAAACTGTTTTATTGTTATAATTCTATATTATTTGAGGTGTGTGTGCCCAGGATATATTTTATTATGAAAATTTCATAAAATTATTAGTAGAATTTCTTATATATGCATATATACCATTTTATATATATCAAGACTCTCCGTTTAGTTGGGGCGCTCTGCGCTCCAGGAACCTGGGTTATAAATATATATATATCTTTCTATATCAAGAGAGATGTTTAATAATAAATATATATATATAAATGGATAATTTTTGAAACAATATCTCTAAACTTGAAAAAAATATATGTTGTAAATAATTTTTGGTAATATTATATTCTACACAATTTGTATATTTTTATTAATATTTTAATTATTTATTTTCATAGATGAAATCTGTGACGCCGAGAACACCAGACGGCGCGGAAGTAAATATAAATAGTTTTTTTTGCATAGTTAGCTAGATTTTTTTGTGAGTTGGCCAGTATGTAAATATTACTATCTTTTTTAAGTTTTTGTTCTTTTCTCTTTTTACTTTCTTTTGAGGTGCTCTACCTATTCAAGAGGCCTCAAGATTACTATTAACATTGATTTGCTCAAAAACTGTGACGACCTTTGGTTCAAAAATAAACCCGTCACTTAGTAAAAGTGTTTGATCTTTTTCCACAGAAGGCCGCGACTGCACCACTCCACTCCGTACAATTCTATTTTAGAATACCAATATTTCAATTTATTTTAAAAATATATAAGATATATATATTTTTTATAATAAATATTCAACGAGATGAGAGATTAATTGGATCAAAATATCATTTATTTTACCAATATTTCAGTTGGCTGAACGCCAACCTTTATCAAGGTGTTATAACATTTTAAAGTGTTTTGAAAATAGAGAGCAATCCATAAATTAATATTTAATTAAAAAGGCATATATTGGATCAAAATATTATTTATTTTACCAATATTTCAGTTAGCTGAACATTGAATATAACAAAATATTTTTAAAACTTAATTCTGTTGACGTTATGTGGCGCTGAGTTTGTTGTTGACACACTTTAAAATGTCATAACACCTTGATAAAGGTTGGCGTTCAGCCAACTGAAATATCGGTAAAATAAATGATATTTTGATACAATATATGCCTTTTTAATTATTTAAAAGTGTTTTAACAACAAACTCAGCGCCACATAACGTCAATAGAATTAAATTTAAAAATAATTTTGCTTATATTCAATGAGGGGAAAAAAAATTTGATGAGAAATGAGAAAAAAATTTTGATGAGAGATTAATTGCTGGTTCTTTTGATATATGAGCCTTTTATGTTATTGTTATTACAGTCGGGGAATGAATAATAAAAACATATCATCATTTGATAATAAAGGCATATATTGGATTTAATAAAATATTTATTTTCCAATATTTCGGCTGGCTGAACGCCAACCTTTTTCGAGGCATAACAAAGTATACAAAAATGTAATGCCTCGATAAAGGTTGGCGTTCAGCCAGCCGAAATATTGGCAAAATAAATATTTTATTAAATACAATATATGCCTTTTATTATCTAATGAATTAAGTATGGATTGCTCTATTTTCAAAACGATATCATCATTTGCTAGCTTGTTTTAATTGAGCTTATGAAATATAAAATACATAATTTGGGAAAAGTACTACCTGACTTAAGAGGCGATAAGAATAAAGAAATTAAAAATATTAAATACCTATTTACATATTTACAAAAGATTTGAGCTGGCCAAAAGTAAAGAGAGAATATGATTTTACGGGCTACTAATCAAAGTGTATGATTTTCGAGCCCAAAAATAATGTAGCCAACAGACAAGCCACAATGCACTATATCAAAATACCAAGGTTCTGCACACCAAGGTTGTTTAAAAAAAAAGGTTAGATTCCCCAGGAAAGGAAAGATAAAAGAACGACAGGTGTTGATTAGAAAAGAAGAGAAAAAAACCGCCCAACGTGGGGCCTAACCCACGACCCTGAGATTGAGTCTCATGTTCTACTGACTGAGCTAACTGGGCTTGAGCCAAGGGGGAACGGAAATATCTTTATTTACGGGGTTGCTAACCAAAATAAAATGATTTTTGAGCCCCAATGGCCGCGTAAAGCGGAATATATACAAACCACTATGACCAGGCTAGGGAGGCTAGGGACAGGATCTCCATTAGGGAAGAGGCAGGTTAGGCCGGAAAAAAACCGCCCAACGTGGGATTTGAACCCACGACTCTGAAATTGATTCTCATGCTCTACCGACTGAACTAACTGGGCTTGAGCCAATGGGAAACAACAACAATGGATTATATAGGTAGAGCTGAGACATCTGGCGGTCGAATTTACAGAGTAGTTTTTGTTCTAGAAATTATAATCTTAAAATATAATTTTTATATAAAATATATATATTAGCTTTAAAAAAGTTTCGCACAACAAATTTTTAAAATTAATTGAATAAGTTAATACCCATCTGGAATGGGATAGAGAAGTAGGTGATGAAGAGACCCAGAGAAGAGAGAATAAAACTGACGTCCAGGTCATACACTCCACCACAGGTCAGTAGGTTGTTCTCAGCTTGAAGTCTGAGGAACATCAGTCTGAAGATGTCGTTGGGATTGTTGTCAGGTGAGGTGCCTTGGTCCAGAGCCATACTGGTGACTTCAATGTATTCTTTGTTTACTTGGCTCGCAGAGTAGGCAACAGATATATATATAAAAGCATAGTGAAATATCCAAAAACACCAAGACACAAAGTGCACATTTTTTATCTTGAATTCAAACAATAATAACATATCAACTATAATTAATATTAATTTAACAAAAGTAATAAATATTGGAAATGAATAGAATTTATTCATTTTCTTTAAAATACAAGTATATAATGTAATTTTATTTATTAATAAATTCATACTAACAAAAGGTATTTTTTCTTTAAATGTTAACATTTCATTTTCAAGATAATAACATATATAATGAAAATATAAGAAAAGCACCCAAATCATACTATCAACAACAAAAAATAAAATATCTTCATCTACATTCGAATTATCATAGAAATAATTATTATCAGAACTTGGATTAGTGATAATTTTATATAATATAGTCTTTATAGGACATTGCATATAAATAATAATAATAAATACCATATATAGCCAAAATTTTATATTCAAATTATTGCTATATGATATTTGAAATTTGAAATCGTTCCTAAATTTGATCATCTTATCTTTAATATTATAAAAGAAAACTACAATCATTATATTAATAATATTATAAATGTTTTCAAAAATTGGAATAAATATTTTTCTTAATAATTTCTTTTTACCTTCCAGAGAATTCTGAGAGATAGAAAAACTAAGATAAATAGCTTTATTTATAATATATATATAAATAATAATTATAAAGATAAATATGATTTTAGCATATTTTACTTTATCCTGCATCGGCAAAATTTTACATTGGTTTCTTCTTGTAATTCTATGATAAAGGTTTTGAAATATCATTTTGTTATTTAGATTGGATCTGTTTGAAAAAATTGTTTTGATTGTCATGGTAACAAGAACAAAATATTTATTTTTACTTCAAAATACTCTCTCTCTCTCTCTTAATACAAGTATATTTCATATATTAAATGTAAACAATATATTTAGGTGGATTGATATTATGACTTGTTTTTTTTTTATCCTATATACACCAATACCTCGCTTTGCGTCGTTTCGTTTTGCGTTTTTTTCGAAGTTGCGTCGCTGCTTAATTTTTACTGATTTTCACTGTGCGTCGTTAGATTTTCGAAGTTGCGTTGTTTTGGATTCGAGTCTTTATTTAAAAAAATTTTTTTTTTCCTAAAATATGGCAACACCTTTGTTTTTGATTGCGCCTTGACCTATTTTCACTTTGCGTCGTTTCAATTTGCGCCGTGATTTTTTTTTGGAACGTAACCCCGACGCAAAGCGAGGTATGGGTGTATATATATTGTAACGTAGAAATCAAGCCTTGAAATATCCTAAGATGTAAAAGCATTTATTGATGACGTCACGGCGACAAGTCGACAATTATTAACAACTCAACCCAAAACTATATACCGCTAGAGAATCTTGAGCAAGCAAGCAAAGAGATATTTTGATAATTATTTTACATAAAAGATTAATATATATTTATATAATCTGTTGAATAGATTCATTGAATAATTTAATTAATAAATTATTTCTTCGTCACATAGCCTCCTCCTATAGAGAACATCGACCCGATGCTCAGCAGGAGACTTACGTCGTCAGTTTTAAGAACTAGTACTATGGCCAGGGATATTTTCAGGTGACTGCGGTGGATGTCTTCTTTCAGTTGAGATATCTTCTTCATGAGGACTTGGTATGTCTATGTTTACGTCAAGGTAGCTTTTTCTCATTTCTACTGTGGTCGGCAAGGGGGGATTTTATAACTTTACGGCCTCACCTCCAATGTGGTCTATCATCTAGTTTTAATGGCTGGTCGTCCAGCTAGATCTTCTAGCAGGTGAGAAATGTTGTCTGTTTCGACCGAGATATGAAGTAGGGCTTCGGTAGCGAGTGAAAGTTTTCCTCGATGATTCGTCATTGGGGTCCTGAGATTCAGCTCGAGAGTTGTAGGATACCATTGCGTCTTGCTTTCTTTGGAAATAGTCATTTCTCCTTTCCTCATTGTGTCTCTTCCTGTCACGGCAATAGCGGACGACGTGACCTGGGCGTCCGCAGTAGAAACAGATTGGCCTTCCCTCAGTTGTACGCCAATCATTGGTGTCGCGTCTTCCTCCTTGTTTTGGGTATCGAGGTTCAGGGTGCGGTCTTATCGTTTCGGCCTCATATCTGGTATTTAAAAACTGTCGGAGTTTTTCCTTCTGAGGGGGACTTCTCCTAGACTTTGAGATTGGCGCCAGGGTTCTTCCAATCTCCTCCTTTACAATTTCTTCGATTGTAGCATTTTTTGGTTCCTCCCGAGGAGAGCCTAATGCCCGCTGTACCTCCTCACGAACAATTTGCCTAATCATAGATGACAGATCTTCTCCGTCATCCTGGTCACAGAGAGACGCTACATTTGGTAGGCGCTCGTACCTGGTTGGGGTAACTCGCCTATAACGGAGCGCTTCGACACGGCGACATTCTGTAATAAATTGCTCGGTGCTCTGTACATCCCTCGGTAGGAGTGCTTGATAAAGCTCCTCAGCTATCCCCTTCATGAGGTGGGAGATTTTATCTTCCTCGCTCATTTGAGGATCAACCTCTTTGCACAAGCACAGGACATCCTGGATGTAACATTGGGTACTTTCACCTTTTAATTGTGCCCGTGTTTTAAGTTTCTTCTCCGCTTGCAATTTTGAATTTTCTCTTTTTCCGAACACATTCTCTAATTGAGATGTGAATTCCTTCCAAGTCTGTATGCTTTCTTCGTTGTTCTCAAACCATTTGAGAGCAGTTCCAGACAGATAAAAATAAACTTTAGTAAGACAAAGGGTTTCGTCCCAATGGTTGTACCTTGCCACACGTGCATACCCTTTTAACCATTTTTGGAGATCTTCACCATCCTCCCCGGAGAAAATGGAAGGGTTCCTTGGCAAATGTTGAACAACGTAGTTGCTTACCTGAGTACCTTCCTTCTTTACATTCATAGAAGTTTTTTCTGGTTCAACAGAATCAATTTTTCTTTTATTTCTTAATGGGTATCGGTCCAGTCTCTCCACCAGTTGTAACGTAGAAATCAAGCCTTGAAATATCCTAAGATGTAAAAGCATTTATTGATGACGTCACGGCGACAAGTCGACAATTATTAACAACTCAACCCAAAACTATATACCGCTAGAGAATCTTGAGCAAGCAAGCAAAGAGATATTTTGATAATTATTTTACATAAAAGATTAATATATATTTATATAATCTGTTGAATAGATTCATTGAATAATTTAATTAATAAATTATTTCTTCGTCACAATATCTTAAAATTTCCAAGAATAATGGAGAAAATGTTTACTTTTACCTTTACTTCAAAGTACTCTCTCTCTCTCTTCATACATTTCATATATTAAATGTAAACAATATATTTAGGTGGATTGATATTATGAATTGTTTTTTTTTATCCTATATACTTATATCTTAAAAATTCCAAGATTAATGGAGAAATTATGGGGATTTATTATATTGATTGAATAAAAGCTTTCAAACTTTATCGTTCTTATACTGGTGGAAGTCAAATAGTGTTGTACACACATTCTCTTTGAAAAAAAGCAGTTTTTTTTAAATTAAGAATAAATATGATTGAATTATAAATACACCTATCCCCCGATTTACACGGTACTTGTTTTACACGTTTTCGCTTTTACACGGTTTTCCAAATAAGTTTTTTTTGTTTTTATCGCACTATACTAAATGCTACTGTGATTGAACACATGCGCCGTGTACACATCTGACGAGGAATCCCGAGCTTATGTGCTGACTTGCTGCACACGCACACTGTGTCTGTATTTCTTCGCATAAAAATTTCGCGAAAATTTTTAATTTTCGATTTACACGTTTTTCTCAGGAACGTATCTACCGTGTAAATCGAGGGATAGGTGTATATACATACCTACTAATATATAGTTCTAAAGATCACAACATATATATAGCTACATCAACCATTTATTTAACTCCCAACGTTTCCGTGACTTCCTGTCACTCTCTTCAGTGAAATGATTATTTTGAATCCTTGTTGTTGTTGTTGTCGTGTCCAATGAAGAGTCTCAGATGTCTCAATGCATATCCAACACAGCAGCAGCAATATCCACTATCTTGGGTGTGTAAAGCTGCTGCTCTGGGTCTAAGTCAATTTTCTACATGGCTGCGGCCATTGCTGGGCATGAGAATATGTGAGTAGGTGTTAGTTCCACACCAGGACAGTTGTTGCATGTTCTATAGGTTCTTGTGCCATCTGGATGTATTGCCATTCCTTTATAGGGTTTTGTTCTAAGTCTTGTTATAGGTTTTGTCAGTTTTCTCTCAGAGTTTATTTCACATATTTGATCTTTTCTTATTTTTTTTTGATTATATCTTGTATTTTTGAATCCTTGTTCTACTTATATAGGTATACCTATTCTTTTTTCTTATCTCTACTCAATCATATCAGGATATCAAGCTTGTAAAGCTTTAGACTTTTGATGGTGTCTGCCGGGGATGAGTAGAGTTCATCAATGGATAAGTCAATACAGTCAATAATATTGCCACGTGGAAAATTAGGGAAGACAAACTTCAAGACGACAACAGAAATTTATTCAAGGCAAGAACAAACTATCAATGGTAAACAAAAGATAAGCCACGAGGGAAATTTAC